ACACTCTCCAAACCCCAAAACCCTAAACCCCAAAGCACCCGGCTCCTTCACGCCGTAGAGCGTGGTGTCGCAGTTCCGGTCATCCACCGGGGCCGGGTTCCACAAGCTGGTCCAGGCTCGCCAGCCGTAGCGCGTCTGCCGTCGATTTGGGGGCTGGAAAGGAGGGGGAGGACGTGAGTTTTGGTGGTGGCGGCGGTGGCTGTGGTGATAGTTCGAGTTGTGACAAAGCTTAACATTAAAACATCTTGCTCTTCATGCACACAAAAGCGATAGGAATCATAGTACGGGTGATGAGAAGACCAAGCAACGTTGTAGCCAACACTCACCGGTCGTGCCACTAACCAACAGAAGCAGCATCAACACACCAAGAACGACAACGACGACGACAACGATGACAACTGCAACCGGAACGACCACCACAGTTATAATGATAATGGTGAGGGTGAGGGAGAGGCTCACGGTGCAAGGTACAAACGCACCATCTAGATGGAAACTGGCCCGTCGAAGCACATCATAGCCTTGTCATGACATGGGCTGGCTTCTCTTATTGTGTTTTGCGCGCCTACGTGTCATCCAAGACATCGGCTTGAAGCCCTGCTGCTGCGTTTTTCCATGTGCAGAGGTAGAACGTCGGTACTACCCGCGCGTCTCTAGTTCTCAAACCGAACTGCTTGTGCTTCCTTCTGCTTGACCTTACCGGCACAAAATCGAAGCCCATTGCCTGAGCCTCCCGCACCCCCAAGCACAAACCCTAAACCCTAAACTCTCAAACCCTAAACCCCTAAACCCTAAACCCCTCTACTAGTCGCCTCTGCACCAAGGTCTTGGATCCATCTGACCGTGAGAGAGCGGTTCAAACGGGCGACCGTCACGCTCTGGGGTTTAGGGTTTAGGGTTTAGGGGTTTAGGGGTTTAGGGTTTGCAAGTTTAGGGTTTTGGGTTTAGGGGGTGGGTCACCAGGCCAGGCTTACTGGAGCTCGGGGTGCAGAAGGGTTTTTCCGGGCGCTTCTGGGAATCGGAGCCCGACGAAGAAGCGCCTTGTCCTTTGGGGTGAACTCATCAGCGATGTTGTAATTTGGCGAGCTGATCTTCCAAGCAATGTAGTCATCCTCGAAGCGAAACAAAGAGACGGCTTGGTGAGGAGCTTTGGGGAAACCCGCAACCCTACTTTCCCGGGTTGTTCTGACTTCGGCCTCCATGGGGGATACATGATTTTGATCCAAGCTCCTCTTGAAGAGGACCTTGCCATGGTCCCCAACACAAATCACCCCCCGACGTGCAGTCAGTTCCTATATGACCTCGGGAAGAAGGCGTTGGAGACCCAGGCCTTCGGCGCACCGAGCCGCCAGCCCCAAAGCTTTAGAAGGCCAGGGGCCGTGGCAGGGCTAAGTAAGAAAAAAGGCACCCTAGAACTTCAACCGAACCCGAAAACACCCGAAAGCCCAAAAACGTCAAGGGACCCCTGTAAAAAAAAAATACCTAAACCCTAAACCCCTAAACCTAGAGCCCCCTAAACTCCTACACCCCCTAGCGACCCCTAAACAACTCCGAAGGCTGCAACAGCGCTCTTCTTGCATGGCTGGGCATCGGCGGTGGGGCCGAAAGCCAGGCTGCAGTTGCCTTAGCTTCAGGGGTTTAGGGTGGAGGGTGGAGGGTTTAGGGTGGAGGGTTTAGGGTTTAGGGTTTAGGGGTATAGGGTTTAGGGGTTTTAGGGGTTTAGGGTTTTAGAGGTTTTAGGGGTTTAGGGACTTAGGGGTTTAGGGGTTTAGGGGTTTCGGGACTTAGGGGCTTAGGGGTTTAGCAGCCCTAACCAATATGGGAGTTTGCGAGAAAATAAGGGGGTACCTTATTTTGGGGTCCTCTGTAATAAGGATCCTACTATTTAGGGTACTATATTAGGGTCCCTTCTTTTCGGAAATCCCCATATCGACGCCTGGGTGATTCGGAAAATCTTACCCTACAAAAAACCGAACTGGCTATGAGCGGAGATGTTACTACGATTGTCCCTCCTTATGGCTGGTTACGGTGTTTCAGGGCCCAGGGCTTCGGTCGGGCTTGGGGTTTCATGGGTTTAGAGGTTGAGGCCCTTGGAAAACTTGACGTTCGGAGGATGTAGGTAGTTCTCTATCGGTCCCCAATATAGTGCGGCGCCCTTATAGACAGGATCCTGAAAGGGACCCCAACTTTTAAAAAGAACTACCCCATGTGGGGTCTGAGGTATATTCGACTGAGAGCAGGCTCTACTAAGAAATCTTCCTACGTGGTTAGTAGTGGGCGTGGTGGTGGTGGTGGTGGTGGTGGTGGTGGTCGTAGTCGTAGTGGTAGTAGCAGTAGTAGTAGTAGTAGTAGTAGTAGTAGTAGTAGCAGCAGTGGTGGTGGTGGTAGT